ATGGCCTTCCCGGGATGATATTGTATCCCATGTCACCATCTACTACTTCGAAGAGAGTTGTTTTCATTACTCCTTCAGCGTTCGTGAGCATCAAAATCTCTCCCCGGGTCATTACGCTCACAAGGTTGAATCCAACGAGGAGCTTTGTTGCCGAAATAATGCTTCCGGTGAGTTTAGCTTGCTCCAATACTCTCCATTTAATGATATTAGCCGAACTTTCTGGATCCACTAGAACACGCTTAATCTTAAAATCCAACACATTTAAAGAAATTACTAGTGCACCGTTGTGTGGTAATAGCAATCCATCTGCGTCCTCCTCCGTAAAAGTGATATCGTCTTCCCGGAGTCTTTTACTATGAGTTATTGATACTTTCGTATTCTTCGCTGCCAAAAAGGTGACCTCATTAATCCCATTCCCTCCGAAGATCATATTGATCATTTGGCGTGGGGGTTCTTCTCCTACTTTTGAAAGTTCCATGTTGTCTCTGTTACGACCATAATTGTTCTTAACTTGGTCACTCAAGAATTCTTTAAGGTGACCATTCTTCAATAGTGTTGCCACCTCTTCCCGGAGGTGTCGACAGTCCCCTGTTCGGTGGCCGTTCGTCCCATGGTATTCACACCACAAGCTGGGATCCCTCTGGCTCGAATCAGATCTCATAGGTCTCGGGAATCGTGCTTCTTTAATATTTCTCATGGCTGACACCAACTCTACTATACTGACGTTAAAATTATATTCCGATAACTTAGGATAAGAAGGATCCCGAGACCCTGACGTCTCTTTATCCTGAAGTGATCTATTGTTTCGACCACAATCAGTCCCTCTATCAACGGTGAACTTGTTTGCTGTCCGAAATTTTCTGCTACAGCCTTCGGTCCGCCCGTAAGGCAAAACCCGGCCCCTCGAAGTCCGTCTGTCCGTGTCGTAGTCATTCTTTAATTTTTCTTTGCTCTTCTCCCGTCCCTTGGCCGATGATGTATAACCGACCCGATCATCTTCAATCCTTATCTTTGACTCATACCGGTTGTGGATATCTGCCTAAGTTGTTGCTTGAAACTCAAGCAGGTTCTCCTTCAGCTTCCGGGAAATGTCTGAGCTTCTCGGATTCAATCCTTTGGTGAACGCTTCAGTTGCCCATTCGTCCGGGACAGCCGGGAGCAACATTCTTTCTTTCTGGAATCGGGTAACAAACTCTCGTAATAATTCGAATTCTCCTTGTGCGATCCTTAATATGTTGGCCTTCCAGGCTTGTACTTTTCTGGCCCCGGTATGAGCCTTGATGAAAGAATCCGCGAGCATCTCAAAGGAATCTATGAAATGCCCGGGTAATCATGAATACCACGTTAGAGCTCCCCTCGCGAGAGTTTCTCCAAATTTCCTTAAAAACATAAATTCGGTTTCGTGATGAGCTAAATCATTTCCTTTTACCGCCTTTGTGTAGGTGATAATATGCTCATGTGGGTCTGAAATCCCGTCATACTTTGGTATTTCAGGCATTTTGAACCTTTTTGGGATTAGTTCTGGTGTCGCACTCAGCTTGTACGACAATTGAGTATACTTCAACGAGTCTGTGCCTTTCAATACTGGTGGTGCGCCCGAGATCTAGTCCATGCAGGCGATTACTTCCCTCATAAACCGTAAAAGTTCATTCTTAAACGGGTCGTTCTCGTTGTTGAGATCGGGTCCGTTCCCCTAGCCCCGTCGGAGCCAACTTCACCCTGGGAGTGTTGTTGTCGACTCTCTGCGTTGTTTGGTTTGCAGGAACACAGGGATAAATTGGATCTCGTCTGTTTGCATTATTCGAAGCCCCCAATAGCGCCTGCTTCAGCTCCGTCATAACCTTATCCTGCCGCGTGAGATAGCCTAGAATGATCTCATGTTGCTCTTGCAGGACCCTCACCGCATCCACGACATACTCCTCATCAGCATCATCAGGAGTTGTCTCCCGAACCTGTCGAGGGTTCTGCCTGTCATGCACTGGCGTGTCGTCATTTCCCTCATTGAGGGTGTCACTGATTGAATCCTCGAAATGAGGCCGATCCTTTCGAATTTCAGGGTTGTACGTGTTGTTAACAATGTTATTTGCCATTTTTTGTGATTTTTTCTAAGACAAAACAATCAAATCACGTTAGTAAAAAAAGGCAAGGATCAATTTAATTACACGTCTGTCTAGGCCCCATGGTGGGCGCCAAACTGTTTACCCGTAAAACGGTATAGTTGAATTTATACGTGATTTCTAGACAAGTTAGCTAATTTGATCATGAAATAATGCAATAATTGAAGAAATGTACAATACTTAGCCTTAAAATGTAGATGAAACAATAGAGATGATAGTTCTGGGAATAAGGTTTCCGGGCACAACAATGATGAGATCAAAAAGCGGAAAAGTAAGATTGTATTAAGCTTTGTAAAGAATGTGCTGTAAGTTTTGCCAAAAAATTCGTCCCCTTTACAATGATAACTGGCCTCACTATTTATAGTTGTGTCTAGGGAAGGAGGTTCTAGGATCGTGCCCTTCTTTAGTATCAATTATAAGGGTCATTTATAAAGATGTAACGATGAATATAAATGCCAAATTCTCTATAACGGGCTGTCACTCTTAATGCTGCAGAATATTTCTTATTAAATGCTATCGTGCGCAAAGCATTTAATACACCTTTATGAACGTTATCCCTTCCCGTGACAAGCGGAATGACTGCGTTTGATCTTCGGTCATCCCCGTCTAGGATTCCACGTGTCTTTCCTTTAGATGACCACGTGTCGTATCATATTTTACCTTATACACCCATACATTGTAGAAATTGATCCATGCAATTTAAAAAATTGCATTATTTAGAGTGTGGTTGTCTGAAATGATGAGGTTTATTGAATTGATTATCGATTTAGCTCAAAACACTTTGGACGAGGAACTTTTATTAGGTCAAATTCGTTTTAATTTTATTTTTGTGTCTTACATGTTTTAGAATGTTTAAAAAAGTTACATTTTTATATTTATTAAGTTTTTAAATTCAATATTTTTATGTTATCCTTAAAGGTGAAATGACATGATATGTTTAAGGCCAAAATGCGAAGGATATTTTTGATATGTTATTCACATATTTAGTGTAAAATATAAAAATTGCATGGGGCACCCTATTTGGTCGCCCCTTTTTAACTTGTACTCGATTTATTTTTTCGTTTGTATCCGTACCCGTTTTTTTGTTAAAAATATTTTAAAAAAATGATTTTGCCATTCTTTAATAAAAGACTATTGACAAAACTGTAAAACAAAACTTCAGCATGTTTTAATATGAAATTTTAGCAAATGAACTAAATAACTTCAGCACGCATTAGCAAAAACTCATTAGAAAATTACATACTGCAAAAGAAAAACTTAAGCATGTTTAGTCTGAAATTTTAGCAAATGAACTAAAAAACTTCAGCTTGTTTAGACTGAAATTTCCAAAAAAACTCATGACAAAATTGTAGATTGCAGGACAAAATTTCAGCATGTTTTGGTATGAAATTTTAGTAAATGAACTAAATAACTTCAGCAAGCATTAGCAAAATCTCATTAGAAAATTACATACTGCAGGACAAAAACTTAAGCATGTTTAGTCAATTTTAATAAATGAACTAAAAAACTTCAGTATGTTTAGACTGAAGTTTCAGATAAAACTCATGACAAAACTGTAGACTGCAGGATAAATAATTTCAGCATGCATGAAGTTTTAGCTTCAATGTAAAAATTTTCACGAATGAGGTTGCAGATCACGCGATCAATATGTGATGCAGGTTTTATATCTTTTGTCAAGGGGTATAATTATCATATTATTACGGATTTTTTGTCAGCTGGTTACCAAATGAATAATTTTTAAAAATATGGTACATGTTAAAAGATGATACAAATATAGGGTACGACTGCAAATCACCCGTGTAAAATAACAAGACCAAAATTATTATTTTTTGAAAAAAAAATAAAAAATTTTGATGGACAAAAATTCGTGCCTAGTCAAATTAAGAATTAAGATGAAGTAGAAGAAGTATTATATTTCGATGGTAAATGATTTGTGACAGAATCAACTTAACCGCATGCTCTCAATGGCATATAACATGTTTATATAAACTGAAAAAAATACAAAAATTCGAAACAATAAAATTCATAATATACAATTGGTTGGGTATAGATATATGTTAAAAAACCCATTGAAAAGGACAAATTGTTTTTATCTACGAGTAAAATACAATAATAAAGAATGTGCATATTCACGATTTATTGAATAATTGTTTTTTGTCCACGATCCCTCCCCGGCTCCCCCAACCCCCCACACACCCCACCAAAATATCCATTCATGTACCTCATATTGTACTTCAAAATAATCAATTTTACGCTTATGATAAATAATAACTTTTCAAGTACCATACCTCGTCCATAAAAGAAAAGTAAAGTAATTTACAACTCAGTGGTGAAATAAATATAATCCCTTCCATCTCTTTAATCAGAGGTGTTGAGATTGAATTATGAGAAAAGAAAAAATTCAAATTAAAAAATTACTCCTTTTAATAAATACTACACGACTTCAATTTAAATTAATCGAAAATTAATTGGACTTCAATGCCGATATTAAACACACCAGAAAGGTGTGATAACCAAATTTATATCACTATGACTCATAGTCTAGGAGTCTTGGACGATCATTATTAATTTATTACTTTATTTGTGTCAATTTAGATGACATATTTTTTTTATTAGTCCGTTCAAAAAAGAATGACATATTTTTACAATTAAAAATAATTTAATTTTAAATTTTTATTTTATTCATTTTACACTTAATGAAATTTTTTTATAACTATACAAATATTATTATCTCATAAAACTTTTAACTTTCAATTTTTTTATTTATTTTAAATTTCGTACAGGAAACGGAGCAAGTAAATAACTACTTCGTCTATTTCGCCACGCTAGAGAAACAGAAAAAAGGAAATATATAGGGTTTAAAGGGAAAAAATGAGAGAAAAAAAATATCTTTTACCAAACGGCTTTTTTTCCTAATAATCGTGTGGTCTTTGGCTGTAATCTCCGCGACTCAAATCTCTCTCTCTAGATTATCTCATATTCGCTCGCTTGCTCCACCATTGGCTTATCCTCGCTTCTTGAGTGCTCCCTAATTTCTCTGAATTTCGAAACTCTTGCCTGAGACAATCGCAGCTTTGAATGCGAATCTTTTGATTCCTTTCATTCGCTGTGATTTTACTGTATCATTACCTTCCGGCGGAATATGTTTATTTATCTTCTTCATCTTTATGTTCCTAGACGAATGAGCTTTTGTCACAGTTGGCTTGATTTTCACCTCAACGCCCAATGAATAGTTCGTGCACCGATGCTTTTGAATAGACATGGCTTCTGCTACTTCAATGTCAGGTAGTTACTACGTTTGTTAATTTCATTTCAATGTTTGCCTGAATAGCATGTTAGTGAATGAATACACCTTAATTGCAAAGTAGTTGCGCTCAGGCTATATAAATTATGTAATTTTATTCCAATTCGTTTCATTCCACTGCTAAATTATTTGAATTGTGATAAGGCAATAAAAGGTTTTCTCTAACCGGAGGTTCACTAAATCTACTAATAACAATTTCTCGTGGAAAACAGTGGAGCTAACGTGAATAATGTGTTAGTCTTGTATTTATTTATTGATTGATTTCTTTTAACTGGAATTAAGTTATATACACTAAAGTGTGATGATTTTTATTATTTTTATAAATCATCGGCTATATAGCAGGTTACTTACCATTTATCTATTATAGGTTACCAATCAATGCTATTAAATAGAGTTACATGCAATTAAATTTTAAATGACCTGATTGTGTAATTATTTGTTACGCCGTCACTCAGTAGAACTTAAACTCTTTTTTAATTTGCAGTTTCTATTGAATGTGTGAATATATGTAAGTCTTGGAAAGGAGATGTGAGTGGGAGATTCGACTGTAGTGTGCTATCTTGTGCCTGGAAGGCGCCAAGGGCCTTGACTGGGTTCCTTGCCAGCACAACTCATCCTTCTCGGTGTTCCTCTACTCTTTATGGACGATATGGAAGAAGAAATCGTCTCCACCGATGTGTAAGTTTTTACTCACCTCCCAACTTACACTCTTTGAAATTAATCACATTGAGTTAAGAAAATTTTATGTTCAAAAAGCTAGTTTTAGAGGCTTTTCTGCTTTGCAATTTACTAAAACTTGTTGGTCATTGACGTTTTGCCTGTGGTTAGTAACCTGTTTGTGGTTCTTTATGTTGATGCGTAACATGATCTTTGGAACATGTAGAAGAATATGAGAGTCCCAATTCAAAATTTTAAGGCATTTATTGGAGCGACACAATATTTATATAAACCCCCTTGAATGCCTTAGATACCTGGTGTAGAACGTTTTTATATAGCTCAACACCCTCTCTCACACATGTAATCCAATTTTGGGTTCACATGTAGACTTGGATGCAGATTTTACGAGCATGAGATGGACTTACTAAAAGTTGAATATATTAGTTGAAAGAATTTGAGTATCCAACTTGAAACTTCAAGGCTATGATTGAATAACTCAAGATATTTATAGATACTTTGGATGTCTTTATATACCCGATGTGGAGCTCTTTTCTTAACTCAATAGAATAGTTCATATTCTTGTTAGAATATCTGTAAATTACGTATAGAATTCGGTAAGAAGATTATTTTGTTAGATTCTTATTCTTTAGTTAATTAGAGGAGGCTGACTTAGAGAGCTTGACCTCAGTCTTCACGATATATTTCAGAATTTAAGTCGAGATACTTCTTGTTTTGCCTTCCTCATTCCTTCCTCCTGTTATTTAAAAACATTATGTGCAGCAAGCTATAGAAGTTTTTAAGGAGTTTTTGTTTTTTAGAATGGTGGTGTCCGGGCCAGTGCGCCTTGACTATTCCACCAGGTACCTGCAACCTCCCACCAGTACAAGTACCGGGTAACTCTAACAACAAGGACTTAGATAGATGGGGAGAAATCACTTAGCCTTTTTTGCTTCTGTTGGGATTTGAGCCATGGTCTCCAGTTTGTTAGAGAGATCTCTTTCATTTTCTTTCTTGTTTGTTGAAGCAAGGGCAGTCTTTAGAGCATTAGAGGAAGCTGTTGGAAGATACAGCTCTTTTGGATTATGTTTCTGTCCTACCTATTAGATGATTGAAGATTATTTCTGATTATTGAAATGCCTTCAGTTTGATTTCCTTGGCTGATGAATAATCCTTTAGCAATTTCCTTGGCTGATGAATTAATATTTTCACCAGTTATGTCAACACCTAATAAATCACATCTGTAATAGATTTTGGATGATGCCCTCAATTGTGTCTAGTGCAGCCTTTGGGTTTGTTCTGTTTAAACCTAACTAAGGCTTGATGAATGAGGTAAAAGGTGGGAGGGTCTGTAGCGACAAGAACAAGAATAAGTTGTCATGATCGTCCCCTTCCCCACTAAAAAGAAATTAGAAGTAAAAGAAAGAAAATTCTGTGTCTTGAAAATGTCTTTTCTTGGTTATAGAGTTTCAATGGACTTCAATAGAGTGGTACAAAGAATTCATATACTGACCCTAACTAATCTGGAATTGACTTGTAGTTGATTGAAAAAAGTATCAAAGTTTAATGGTGCTACGACATCTGCTCTTCTTCAATACTGTAACTAACATAGCCTAGTGCTAAATGCCATAGAAATGCATGTAGTGACACATTAGAAAAAATAAAAATGGGTGTTCTGGTGGCAAATACATGGATAGGCCGTCAATTTTGGACTGTATCAAGTTTCTCGAGACCCTTTTCTCCTGAGATTAGTCAGTGACTCAACCAGCACGAGTTTAAGCTTGATCCATATGGACTTTATTTTTGGATGTGCACTTATTTATACATGTATTTTCTGGAAAGTCATGCATGCAAACAGCACAGGCTTATAGCTGGTTTTCTTGAGAAGCAATAATTATATCTGTTACAGTCTTTTCACCTGACTTGATTTTACTTGTGGCAGAGATGTTATACTTCTGATGTGGACGAACGCTACTCTGATGAAGCTCTGCAAGGAGTCCCTGGCTCAAGGCTTCTACTATCTACTTCTAGCAAATGGAAATTATGTTGCTCTTTATCATTTTCTTCAGAGTCTTGTGAAGAGATATCTCCTGAAAGTTTGTGGGAGGTTAGTGATCCTCCAGCTATGAAGTCATCTCTGATTCCTGGCATCATTAACGAACAAAGTCTGCTTTCCTAGTCAAAACTTGTTGGTTTTACTCATAAATTAGCTTGCCTAAACATCATAGCTCTCTCATGATAGAAAGATCAGGAATTGTGATTATCAGTTGCTTTTGAAAATTGAGAAGCATTAAGCACCAGCACTTCCCAGCTGTTAATAAGCAAAATTTCTCTGGCAGGAAAGAAAATGGAAAATCCTATTGACTCAAATATTGCTAGATATCCTAATTAAAATAGAAAAGCCTGAGCCAATCTCAGAACTGCTAATTCCACATTCTACTGATTGTTTTTTCTTCCATACATAAAACTTTCAATACTTTCAATATTGAATCTATTGCAGCTGGTGTCTTCTGTGTGCATTTCTTTCTACATAAATTTGGACAAATTCATGTTCCTTCTGAAATTGATTAATTTTGCATTTGTGAATAGTTTTTGAAAGATACAGAATGAATTCTCACTTCTAAGCGCCTGATTTTTTATGCTCATTTGCTAATATCAAGTGTCTGTTATTGTTAGTATACTGAGCCGGGGGTCTATCAGAAACAACCTCTCTACCTTCACAAGGTAGGGGTAAGGTCTACGTACACACTACCCTCCCCAGACACCACTTGTAAGGTTACACTGGGTTTGTTGTTGTTATGTTAGTATCTAACTAATGTTAATTATCTGTTTCACAGGATCTTATACCTTCTATTTCATATCTTTCTTACAAAGAATTGGAATTGGTTCGCAAGGCTTTGAATGTAAGTATATTCGCATATAATCAACAAAATTGATCTTCTCCTTGGCTTTGATTTCCTTTCTCATCACTTTCTTTCTTTGCAAGATAAAACATCTATTACAAATATTTGGCATGCCATAATCTCCAACTAAATCAGAATAGCTGAAAAACCTGTCTGATCTACTGATTATTATTACAGCTTGCTTTTGAGGCACATGATGGTCAAAAGCGTCGTAGTGGAGAGCCCTTTATTATTCACCCAGTTGCAGTTGCACAGATCCTTGGACAGCTTGTAAGTTGTGCGGAATTATTGTACTTTCCTGGCTCAGAAGGCATAACTGAGTTTGACTTTTTCCCTTTTTCTTTTTGAGGAATTGGATTGGGAGTCAATTGCTGCTGGGTTATTACATGATACTGTGGAAGATACAAATGTAGTTACTTTTGAAAGAATAGAGAAGGAATTTGGTCCGACAGTTCGGCGTATTGTTGAAGGGGAGACTAAGGTAGTTCTTCAGAAGATATAGATTCTTCTTCTTCTTCTTCTTCTAGCAAACAATTAAAAGAAATTTGTTCCTTTTGACGTAAATGGGATTGATGTGTTAGGTATCCAAGCTCGGAAAGATCAAGTGCAAGGATGAAAGCCATGTGCAGGATGTCAAAGCTGATGACCTTAGACAGATGTTTCTTTCCATGACGGAGGAGGTAATGCCTCTGTTTACTTGTACGGATTTTGTTACTTTCTTAACAGTCCCTTTCTTAAAATGCTTCTGTTTCAGGTCCGTGTTATAATTGTAAAATTGGCTGATAGATTACATAATATGCGCACTCTTTCACATATGCCTCCACACAAGCAGGTATGTACATCTTAATTTTTTTTATCCGTCTCTGTCTAATCTCTAACAATCTTGCTATTCTCTTTCCTTTCCAGTCTGGCATCGCAACAGAGACGCTGCAGGTTTTTGCTCCTTTGGCAAAACTTCTTGGAATATACCAAATCAAGGTGTCTCTTTAGCTTCTTTAAACTCTTAAATGCTTTGACATGCCTAAGATATATTGTACCTAATTTAAATTTCCTTTTCTTCCTCCCTTCCAGTGGCTGGTTGTCTGGCCTTCAGAACTGTATAGTTAGTTGTTGATGTACATGGACGTCTCTCATTTTCTTAACCCTTTTCCTGAAATTGCTTAATGATAATAGTACTCGTACTCATTATCAGTGATATGTGATCATACTAATATTGGCATCTCAAGTTTGGAAGCTCTTCTGCAAAGAGACCTATGATGCAGCTGATTAAGTGATTTTCATTTTAGTCCTCTCTTGATCTATTTTGTCCTCTAGTAGCCTTCTTTATCCTAGATCGACCTGTCTTTTTCTTTTGTCTAGTGAGAGAATTGGGGCTTTGGG